CTGAGCACCACCAGTGCGGGAACCCCACGCCATCCTCACAAGTGGTCTACATGGGCTGCAAGTCACACCCCAGTCCTTAAAATACAGACTTACAGGAGCTGCAGTGTGTATCCCCAAGGCAGAAGAGTATGAGGAATTGTTATAAACCACATTGCAGAACAAATTTCTAAAAGGGGAAAAAAAAAATCCAGCTTCAATCCCAAAGTGTAAGATCTCTTTTTCAACTACACATGATTTAAAGCTTATTAAATTCTGCAATGTACATAAAGGGCATCCTTGGAATCCAGTCTGGAGAGAGGACAATATCTCTGCAATTTGCTGGTCCTTTGGGAAACTGAGGAAATAATTAAATTCAAAGCTTCAAATTCCAGACCAAACTAAAAATCCTGCCTTCTTAGAACATTCTTGAGACCTAGGTCTACCTCAGATATGTATCCACCTTCCCCAGAGTGTTATGAAATTCAGTAAAGTGTCATTTCACACATTACTAATCGGGCTCTTAGTAAGTGTATTGAGTACATACGAGCAGTCACATGCCTGAATCCATCTTGTCACACTTGAGCACACAGTTCAGTGTAGGGGGTAACATTTAAATAATGACACCCCCAAAAAATAAATAAAATAAATAATGACAACTCAGAGTTTAAACTGCCCCAGGAGGAGGACCATTACAATGGTTTAGGGACATGGAAAACTGCTAGCTCTGCCCTTTGCAGCAGTAAGAATCCATTAAATTAATTTAGAAATTTCTAAAACTGTCAAGGAGTTATTGAAGAGCTTACAAAAGCTAACTTTAAAACATTTTAGATATGTACAAATTATGTATTTCATTCAAGTAAAACCTAATTCTTTATAGGCCTCCTTTTGCTAGCGTAAGTATAAATTGTTCTTGACTATTCCTGAACTGTTCTTACTAGGCACATTCATGGCACAAATAGTTGATTCTTCTAAATTTAGTCATTTGTAGGTATTTTAAATAGTCCAAAAATTGTTTCAAAATTATTATTTAGGTCTATGGCATGCAAATTATTTACACACTTAAATGTAGTCTTCTATTTTCATTGAAATCTGCTTAATAGATGTCCATACTGAGACCGTTGTTTGCAGCCTGATACAGTGGCACACTCCTGTAACCCCAGCTATTTGGGAGTCTGGCACGGTAGGATCTAGAATCCCAGGCCAGCTTGGGTCACATAGGAAGACCCCATCTCTCTCTCTCTCTCTCTCTCTCTCTCTCTCTCTCTCTCTCTCAAAAAAAAAAAAAAAAGTTTGTTAGCTTTTTTTGTTGTAAATACTATACAAAATTACATGCTGAACATGTATATCTTGAAGGTACTTAATCAGTCAAGTAAGATTCTTGTAAAGTTTTCATGAATAGAGCAAATATAAAATATTGATTTTAAGTATTTCCAAAGATCCATGGCTGCAGAATTTCCATTTACTCTAGCTTAATGATTTGTGAGCAAGTTCCAGTGCAGCACAGTTCCCCCACACCATGTGCTAACAGCTCAGTAGCCATTGGTGAGTTTGCCAAGATTCTGGACCTCCTTCAGCAGCTGAGTGGTTGCCAATGGCCCAGGGGTTATAAAGCAGGTTCACACTGCTGTGCAAGAATTTGTGATCACTTACATGGTGCTCGCTGTTAGGTGCCACATTCTGTTCTAAGTATGCTGCAAATACTAAATTGACCTGTCAACAGAACTATGAGGTGGGTACTGACTGGGCCCATTTTACAGAAGGAAAACAAATAGAGCATGAGAAATCCCAGGCTTTGAGGGACTCCACCTGTCCAAGAGGACTGTCGTGGGAACTGAAGGAGGAATGAAGCTAAAGGCACTGCCCTAACCCATCGAATCAACCGCCACCAAAGCTAACAGCACCCCTTTTGGCACCCCTGTGCTCTTTCAGGAGTGTTTCCTTAAGCTGTATAAAGTGATAGCCACTGAGGACTGACCAGAAATGGATGCAATGCTGAGAGCTAGTGCAAAAGGTAAGTGAGGAAACAGATGCAGGAGTGACTATGACTCTTGAGGAAAGCTGTGGGCAGAACAGTGTCTTTGAGGAACTAGCCCCGTCTCTGCTCTAACACATTGAAGATTCACATCGACTATCATCCCCACACAGGGAATCAAATATCTGATTGTAACTAATAGTCTCTTGTTTCCCCATCTGTGACAATTTTGTTTTAATGCATTGCAGAGAACAGAAAAATCAGATGTCACAGGCATTCCACCAAGATAAACAGGAAGGCAATCTTTGGGTTCCCAGAAAATCAACTGAGAATCTGAGCCATTTTCTATCTATAGTTTGGGAACACATACAAGAAGGTGTCTCTTCAACATTGAAGCAGCGCCTGCTGTCTGTGCCAGCATTCTGCCAGAGGCACACGTGTTCCCAGGTGCATAAGGCTGCCCTGGTCCTAGCGCTTCTGGGCAAGGCCGTCCCCCCTGGAAAATGAAATCATTAACTAAGAACTTCTGTATGTCCAGGAAAATTGAAATAGCCAAACTGTATCAGTCATGATCATAAAATGACCCACGATCCAGTTTAGAATTTTATTATGTATTGTAAAATAAGAGGTATAAAATTCATGGCCATTTCTCATTATAGTGAGTTTTTTAAAATGGCTCACAAACTTGGGATTCTATATATTATGTTAATGTGATTTTTTCCCTAGCAAAGATTATCTTAACATCAAACCAACTTTTATCATAGTGCCAATTAGTAACTTATACCAACCCAAGTTGGAGACACAGAAATAATTTTTCTGCAGCAAACCGAAAACCTAAACAAAAACAGAGAAAATGATATAGGCAGTTCCATATGTATCAGCTCAAACAGTGATCAACCTTCGCCCTCTTCTTCTCTGTCTCACCCTGTTCTGCCCCTTTCTGTTCTTGGTGGGTGGGTGGGAGGGAATATTAAACATATASGAACTTCAATATGCATGTCTGAGAAGCCCTGTAAGAAAAAGATCAAGTATTAGATTTTTTTTCTGGTTGTCTCAGGATTCTGTTTTTTGTGTTTCTTGAGTAGATTTTGCTTTACCAGTATCTGTCCACCCACCTCCCTCCCCCCACTGATTTGCTGGAGGAACGTGACCACTTATGCTGTAGATGTTCCTTGTTGAATTGGCTGGCTACTTCCTGTGATAACCCCTTTGCTCCTGTAGGTAGTGAGATGGATTTTTATCAGCCTCACGGTCTGGGTGCTGCGCATCTCCTATCAGGTCATATCTGGAGACACAGGCTAGCTGGGAGTTGTTGTTCATGGTCATGTGACCACAGCCTGCCTCCTCCCTCTGAAGATTACACCACCCTCTGCTCAGTTGTTCTAGCTTCAGATGATGACTGTCCTTCAATCCCATATTTYATTAGAGGTGTAGAATAAGGAACTTTCTAATCCTATCATTCTTTCTGAATTTATTACCTGAAGAAATTCTACTTTATGAAGCCTTTCTCCATCAACTCTTGGTTACCCTGAAATTACCACTGGTACGTGACAGGGAGAGTCAATCCCTGTTTTGCTGCAGGCTGCCCGGCCCCGGCCGAGCGGGCTGGCTGAGCTCCGCTCCTGCCGCTGCTGTCGCGGAGCACCGCCTGCCGCACTCCTGCTGGGCGCTTCCCTGCTGGGCTGTCAGTGCACGCCGGCTTGCAATCTTGCAACCCGGTTGGGCACAAAAACACAAGCCAGTCAAACTGAAACAAAGTTTTATTTTGTGAGAGGCCGTGTGCATCCCCTAATAAGTGGGTCCACCACGTGTATTCTCTACCTGAGGGGGGGGGCTCCACTTCCCCCGGAACACCCTCCTACCATCCTTTCCCAACCAATGGGAACTCTCCCATTACAAGAGTGACATGAGTAACCTGAGTCCCGAAACGGGCCCAGGTAAACAGCAGGAGTCAAATTACCATATGAATGTAACTTAACATAATCATAATCTGAATGGCTGGCTGGCAGTCACTAAACCCAAAGGTGCCTGTATCAATATTTTTGCTGTGGCTCCTAGCACTGTTTCTTTTTATTTCTTAATTTTCAGATATATTGAGCTGGTACCCTAGCGATTTCTAAAGAGGTATAAAGAAACAGCATGAATTCGTGGATTTTCATGGCTGCAGTATTTTCATCATTCTCTCTGGTGCTCCAACTGTCCCATGTGTCCTAGACGTGGTCACATTAACCTGTGAGGAGTTTTTGTTTCCTGGCACAAGATGGCCCAGACTGACCTTGCACATTCCTTGTCCCTGGCATAGACAGGGCATAACTCCAGAGCCCTGGTTACTTCTAGTGGAAAATGGTGGTTTATACTGCTGTCAGGAGGACGCATGACCACTGGGTTGATATGACTTCTAGTGCCTTCTGATAGAGCCAGGATGGGTGGTTTTGTGTGACTGTGCCAGGAGTAGAAGCATTGCTGGGCCTCACTCTTCTGGAGCCTTAGTTTAACGTCCTCTTTCCCTCTGCTGCAGTGTCTCCGAGGGACACCACGGCCTGGCTGCTCATCTGCTTTTCTCAGAAGAAATGCTCGTCCAAGCTGCTGCCCCAGGGCTGGCCCCTTCTGGCCTCCTCCCCAAGGGCTGCTGGGCCTCCCACGCCAGCGTTTAGTGCCCAGTGYGGACACCCTGCAGGGTGACTCCTCTGTGCCTGCCCTTTGCTCTCCTCTTGTTCAAGGGCAGGTGCTTAAGCAACCTTGACATCACCATCCTGCAGAGGCACACAGGCTAGAGGAATCTGGAGCTCATTTCTCTACTCACAGGTAATTGGGAGTTTGCACTGTTCCATTTCCTGCTGGTGCTGAAGTTGGGTGTTATTTGCATGTCAGATTTTATGGATTTGGGGGAAGCTGTATTGAGAAACAGTGATTTGGCCTCTGACTTTATACTCCAGACCTGAAGGCCCCGTTAAGGAGCACCTGTACCATAACTAGAGTGAGATCGTGTGGGAGCACGTGGGCCAGAGGTGCTTCAGAGAAGTGATGGACGCTGTAATRTAGACCAGGGTCAGAGAACTCTTCTGTGCAGACCCAGATGATAAACATCCTGGGCTTTGGGGACAGGCTGTTGCTTCTTGTTGGGGGCCAGCAACTCTGCTGCTGAAGCACAAAAACAGGCATCAACAAGAAGTGACCAGAGCAGTGTGGCTGTGCTCCCACTGACTCGACAGCAAAAACAGGCAACATCCTTGGGGCTGGAGTTGTGGCTCAGTGGTAGAGCACTTGCCTAGCACGTGTGAGGCACTGGGTTCGGTTCTCAGCACCACATTAAAAAAATTAAAAAATAAAGATATCATGTCCATGTACAGCTAAAAATATTAAAAAAAAAAAAAAAAAAAAAAACAGGCAACATCCAGAGTTAGCCACAGGCCATAAGTGCCACCATGCCACATACCAGCCCCTGGGACTGACCTCAACACAGATCAATCACAAAATGTCATGAGATGGTGGTGTGCTTCAATAGAAAGCTCAGAGAACATCGTGATATTTGCCTTTTTAAGAGTTTTTTTTCTCACTTAATATAGAAACATCAGCTCACATCTTCCATTAGAGGCAGAAGGATGGAGATTGCTTTAGATCTTTGCCGTGTAGTATCACCATAGGCAATATTTAATGGTGGGAAAYGGCTCACAGTATGTTGGGATGTAATATCACAATTCGGGCATCCAGTTAACACTTGTTGGTCAGTAAGCTTTAAAAGCTTACACAAAATAGCGTCTGTAGTTTGCGGACAGTGTTCAGTGTGCTTAGAAGAACCTGAAGTGTGGATGGCGGTGTCCACCRTGAGAACTACTGAATGGTCTCGTCATGAACATCTTTGTTTTCTTTAGTTGTTTCTTCTTTTACAATTCCATAATAAATGTGTAGACAGTTTGTTAAATATATTTGTTTTGATCTGAAACAAATAATAATTTAATGGCTTGTTTGTGATAGAATATAGTGTAAAAGAATGAATAAACAAAGGGCTTAAAAACAAAAGATGCTTTAGTAGATGGGATGCTTTTGTTGTTTGGATCTAAAAATGTCCCCCTCAGAACTTGTTTTTTTTTTTTTTTTTTTAAAGAGAGAGAGAGAGAAAATTTTTTAATATTTTATTTTTTTAGTTTTYGGTGGATACAACACCTTTATTTTATTTTTATGTGGTGCTGAGGATCAAACCCAGTGCCCCGCGCATGCCAGGCGAGTGCACTACCGCTTGAGCTACATCCCCAGCCCAGAGCTTGTTTTTTTGTTTTTTTGTTTTGGGGGTATTGAGAATTGAATTTAGGGGCACTCGACCCCTGAGTCACATTTCCAGCCCTATTTTGTATTTTATTTAGAGATGGTGCCTCACTAACTTGCTGGCTGGCTTTGAACTCATGATCCTCCTGCCTCTGCCTCCTGAGCTGCTAGGATTACAGGTGTGCGCCACTGTGCCTGGCCCTCAGAGCTTGTTGTGAAAGCTGATTCCTGATGAATCACGGTTCTGGGGGTGTTTAGGCAGTGATGAGCACTGTGACCTTTCCAGTGGATTGATCCATTTGATGGATTCGTATTGCAAATTGTCAACTGTGTGCYACTATACACAGGTAAGGAGAGGCTGGAGGAGGTGGTCACTGGGGGCATGCCCTTGGGTGCTTTATCTTGTCCCCAGTCCTAGGCAGCTCTCTCCTGCTCTTTGCTTTCTGGCTGCTGTGCCCTCTCCTCGACTGCATCCTTCATTGAGATGTTCTGTCTCACCTCAGGCCAGAGCAGTGGAGTTGACCCACTGTGGACCATAAYGTCTGAAACTGTGAGCCCCCAAATAGGCTTTCCTCCTCTAAGTGCTTCTTATCAGGTTTTTGGGAACAGTGAGAAAAAGCTAACTAAAATAGTTGCAGAAAAACATTGACAACATTTCTGTAGGCAATATGTTTCAGTCTAAAGAGCCTGGGGAATTTTGGAAAAATAACTGAGTTCAAATTCAAACTCCCTTAATACCTAGTGATCTTTAAAAGTGAGATGCCCTCCTGGTCCTCAGTTTACCCACCTGTAAGGGGAAATAATATTATCTACCGCGTATGTTAAAAGCTTAAAGAATTTACATAATGAGGTAAATTCTAGCTTTCCAAACTAACTCCTTAGAACTGTTTCGAAATTTTGAGTTTCTTAACCTATTTTGCCTTTTCTTTATAACCAAGTACAAAGTCTTTCTCTATATTTTAATCCATTTATAAATGCCTGCATTATATTCTCCAGGCCATAGAATCAAAACACAGATAAAGTCAAGTCTGACACCTTTAGACTCTCCCGGATACCTGCTACAGTCACTGTGACCACTTGGTCTGAGCAAAAGAGAAGGGTGCAGCTCCATGCATGAGGGTGCCAATCTGCATCTTGCTTCCTCATGGCACTCTGAGCAGCCCTCCTCTTCTTCTGGCAGACCCACATGGAGCCTTCGGATCTTCAGATTCTTGTGTGGCTTGCACCACAGTTTCTTCTCTCCTGGTCAAATTGTTCTAACATATGGTGCTAATATTTGGACATTTGTCCCCTGAAAAATCCTTGTTGAAGCCTAGTTGCCATCCAAGCAGCATGAAGAGCCAACTAAGCCAAGGGCAGAGATCTCGTGGTGGATCAGAGCCCTTCTAAAAGAGCTGAGGCCACAGTGGGGGTTTCTGCCCTTGTCTGCTCTAGCTCTTCTCCTTCAACCATGCGACGCTGCAGCAAGAAGGCTAGCACCAGATGCTAGCGTCTTGTCCTGGGCCTCCCATACTCCAGAACTATAGCCAAATAGAGTTCTGTTCATTATGAATCAGCAGCCTCAGGATTCCATTACAGCAGCAGCAGTGTACGCATAGCATCCCAGCAAGCCGCAGAAGGCACCTTTGTAGATAATGGCCTCCAAAAATATTTCTCAGCTCTTGACTTCTGAATGAGTCAATGATCTTATGTAAAGGGGGTTTGCAAGATAATAATGCCAATATTAGAGTAAATGTCGTTAGTATTGTATTCTAAGAAAATCACTGGCTGTGAACTAGGAAAGACTATGGAAATGGTTAGCAACATGGAAAGCATACTTCGTCAGGCTTCCAACAGATTCTCCTTCTGCAGAGGTAGAGCTCTAGATTGTTTATTTTATATCCTTGCATTTGTATTGCAAAGCCCCAATGAAAAGTAAATTGTTTTCTGTGCTGAATGAATTGCAACCGGAAAGAAGGAAGAAGCAAACAAGCACCACAGAGTRCAGTCAGCAGTGAGGGCGGCGGACATGGCTGCCGTGGAGGAGACGCTTCCTGAAGAAGGTGTAAAGGGAAATTCTAAAGGAAGTCTCCCTGCCCACCTAGRTTACCTTATGTCTCAGAAAATCAATTTTTAAAAACTTTAAAATTTAAATTAAATCTCTTTTAACTGATACATTAAAACATAAAAATGTACATATTTATGGGTTGGGGGTAGAAATGAATAATAGGGGGAATTGTTGAAAATTAACAAATATGTGGAAATTAAACAATATGCTACTGAACAATGATTGGATCAAAGACAAATATAAAAGGGAAAGAAACTAAATAATATGTTTAAGCAAAGAAAAATGGAAACCAAAACCTATGCAACAAAAGCTGATCTAAGAGGAAAGTTCATAGCAATAAGTGCCTGAAAAAGAACGGTTTYAAGTGAAGGACCTAATGGACACCCCAAGGAAGTAAGTTAAGGAATTTTAATTAAGGAATTTAAAAGGACAAAGTAACCCCAAGATTAGCAGAAGKGAGGGAATAAAGATCATAAACAAGTGAAGTAGAGATTATAAAAATAACAAATGATCAATAAAACTAAGACCTTATTTAAAGCTAATGAAATTGACAAACCCTGGACTAAGGGGAAAAAAAGACTCAAACAAATTTAGAAATGAAAGGAAGACATTAAAACTGATAACAGAAATACAGAGGAGGATGTCCAACTCCTGCGAACATCTATACACCAAYAGATTAGACAACCTGGAGTAAGTGGAAGAATTCCTAAAAACACATAACCTACCAAGACCAAATGTTGAAGAGATTTGAAGTCTGAACAGACTAGTAAATGACTGAGGAGATTAAGTAAGTAAGTAAAAGTATCCATCAAAGAGAAGCCAAGGAATGCAGAGCATAGTAATACACAACCGTAATCTCGTTGCTCAGGAGGCTGAGGCAGGATGACAGCAAGTTCAAGGTCAGCCTAGGCAATTTAACAAGACTCTGTCTCAAAATAAAAAATAAAAAGTAACAAGGACTGGGGATGTGGCTCAGTGGTAAAGCTCCCCTGGGTTCAATCCCCAGTGCTGCCAAAGAAAAAAGTTTTAAAAAGCACAGGGCCAGATGGCTTACATTCTAAAGACAAACTGACACCAATTCTTCTTAAACTCTTCAAAAAAACTGAAGCATATGGAATACTTCCAAATTCATTTTATGAGATCAGAATTACCTGGTATTAAAGCCAAAACAAAGGCACKACAAGAAATGTAAAATATAGGCCAAGATCACTGATGAATATTGACACAAAAATCCTGAAAAAAAAATCCAAAATACTAGAAAACCATATTTAACAGTACATTGAAYAGTACGTTCACCATCATCAAGTGAAATTTATCCCTGGCGTACATTTGGTTCAACACATGCAAACCAATAAATGCAATTCATCCTATTGACAGAATGAAGAACAAAACCTATCATCCTCATTGATGCAGAAACAGCACTTGACCAAATTTATTATCCTTTTATGATAAAATTCTTCAACAGATTTGTTGAATCAGGTAGATAGACTGTTCCCCAGCACAATAGAGGCCACATGTGATCCACCCATGGCTGACATCATGCTCAACAGAGCAAAGTTAGTTTTCCTTCCCAGATCAGGAAAAAGACAAGGGTGCCCACTCTTACTACTTCTGCTAAACATAGTACAGGAAGTCCTAGCCAGAGCAGTTGGGAAAGGGAAAGAAATAAGAGGTATCCAAGTAGGAAAAGATGAAGCAAAATTGTCTGCTGATATGATCTTACATATAGAACATCCAAAAAGTCTCCCCCAAATACTATTGGAACATATAAACAAATCTTGTAAAGTTGCAAGACAAAATCAGCTCACAAAAAATCARTAGCATTTCAATATGCTAACAACAAACTATCTGAAAAAGAAATTAAGAAAACAACCCCATTGGCATAACATAAAAAATAAAATACTCAGGAGTAGATTTAACCAAGGATGTGAAAGATGTGTACACTGAAAACTCTAAAGCAATGTTGAGGAAAACTGAAGAGACCCAAGTAAGTGGGAAAACACCCCATGTTCATGGATTGGAAGAATTAATATTGTTAAAATGTCCGTGCAATTCAAAGTTACCTACAGATTCAGTGTAATCCCTATCAAAGTCCCAATGTCATTCTTCACAAAAATAGAAATAGAAATCTTAAAAATCACATGACATCTCAATCCTGAGCAAAAAGCACAAAGCCTGAGGTGTCACACCAGCAGGTTTTGAAGACGTTTATGAAGATGTAGAGCTCGAAACAGCATGAACAGGCACAAAACAGACACATCAACCAATGGAATAGGATGGAGGGTTCAGAAATAAACCATATACGTTAGCATCAACTGATTTTTGACAAAGTTGCCAGAACACAAAATGGGGAAAGAACAGTCTCTTTGGTAAATGGCCTTAGGAAAATTGGATATCCAAATGCAGAAAGATGAAAATTGTCACTTATCTTACCCCTTATTCAAGAATAAACACAAACTGTATTGAACCCTAAGATCTGAAATCATAAAGTGACTGGGAGGAAACGTGGCAGAAGCCCCATGATGTCTGGGCAGTGATTTCTTGGACATACCCCAAAGCACAGCGATGAAGCAGAACATCAGGACAGCGTCAGCCCAACAGGCGTTTGCTCAGGAAAGAAAACAACAGTGAAGAGACAGCCCATGGAGTGGACAGAACACCTGCAAGTCACACATGGGAAAAGGACTGATATACCAACTACTCAGAGCAAGGAAAAGAAAACTAGTGAAAATAGGCAGAGGACTCAAAGGGGCATCTCTCAAAAGAAGACATACACATGGCCAACTGAGATAGGAAAGTGCAGATTCATGGGCTCAGGTACTATTTTGATACATGTTTACGTTGTGGAATAATGTGCACATTGCTCTCTAATCATCAGAGATTGCAAACCAAATCATGGGACTTACCACCTCATCCTGGTGACTGTTCCCAGAAAGATAAAAGATGGCAGTGTTGGCAAGGGTGTGGAGAGAAGGGGAGTTCTCCCTGGGAATGTTACAAATTAGTGCATCCCCTGTGTAAGATAGCATGGCAGTGCCCCCAAAACTGAAGATAGAATGGCCATGTGACCCAGTGATCCCGCTGCTGGTGTACACACCCAAAGGGAACGAAATCARCAGATTGAAGAGACACCGCACAGCAGATTCATTGCAGCACTGGTCACAATAGCCAAGACATGGAACCAGCCCTGGAGTCTGTCCACAAAGGAGAGGTCTGTACACATGGAACACCAGGGGGGTCTGCCTAACAACACGATGAATGTACAGGAGCTGTACGTCAAGTGAATGAGCCACCATGGGACAGATAGCGTGAGGACTTGAAGAACATCGGACTCGGAGACACAGAGAGTGGAGTGKCCGTTACCAGGGGCTGGAGGGTGGTGACAGGGAGAGGAGAGACTGGTGGTCACCAGGCACAGTTTCAGCCATGCGGGAGGAATAAGTCCTGGTGAGCTGTCAGGCAGCTGGGCAACTAGAGTGAATCATGATGTATCATCTCTTTCAAAACGAAAAAGAGGGTTTTAAATGTTCACATCAAAAGGGCTGATAAACATTTGAGGTGATGAATTACTCTGGTCTGATCATTCCACAACGTACACATGTATCAAAATATTACGTCAACCCATAAATTTACACCATTATTTGTCAATTAAAAATAAAATTTAAGTTGGGTATGGTGGCCCATGCCTGTCYACCCAGCTACTCAGAGGCTGAGACTTGAGGATCAGTTGAGCCCAGGAGTTCAAGACTAGCCTGAGCATGATAGATCCATCTGGAAAAAGCAAACTAACTAAAAGAAACTGTGGAAAAGGAAGAAACGGATAGGATCTTGCTTTACAGAGGACAGAACCAGGGCAGTGTCRGGAAAGGGCCATGGAGTCAAGTAAGGGATTTCTTGAAAGGTGGGAGAAAAAGCCAYGTCTGACTGCTGACCTTGAGAGATGGTGGCTGTGGCTTTCCCTGAGATGCAGGGTGACAGTACAGAAGGGGAAGGGGAAGGCTGCTCACCTGATTAGGGCAGCCCTTGCACACAGAGGAATGTGGCCCTGGCTGTGGGGTGACCACAGGCCTTTCACCAGGCACCCATAATGAGCCAAGTCCAGTTGATGCTCCTGCAGCAAGACAAAGCACAGTGCCACGCTCCGTCTGCACGGGGCTGTCCCACGTTGCTGTCTGGGTGGTGTGTATGCATGTATGGACGTAAGTACTMTGTGTGCAATGTGCCCATTCTTGTAACAGATGTGGAGTGTGCACGGGTGTCTGGTGCACGCATACTCAGTGTGCCAAGGTTACCTGAGGTGGGTGATTGCACAACAGGTGCTGTACATTGTACATGGCTGCGCAGGATCAGCCTTGAGCTCATCACACCATGTGACAAGTTCCTTGTTACAACAGCATTCTGGAAAGTACATCGCACATGGGAAAGGAAGAGAAATGGAGCCACTGAAGTAGGCAAGGAAAAAATGGCCTGTGGGTAACAAGCAGTCCTCAGGTGGAGACTGGGCTTCCAAACACAGTGAGCACGTTGTGGCCTTGGGCTTGCAGAGGAGGCCTACCTGCTGCTTGCCCAGGCGTGGGCAGGGAGAGCGTCTGGAGGAAGGCTTCCAGAAGCTGGCCCTGTCCTCTGCTCTCCCGAATGACCCTTCCTTGGTGCATTTAAACTCTCCTTCAAGCTGGAGTAATTGTTGAGGGCCACAGCCGAGTCGGGATGACGCATGGCATTTTTGCCAGAAGTAGTGGTTGAGAGGTGATGCCAGCGAGCCATTAAGATGATGACTTTTGAGTTCTCTCGGAGTTCCCGTTGAGTTCCGGTTGAKCTCTTGGGGATTCCTGAAGAGTTCGCCTTGGTTGGTAAAGTTCTGGTGGTGCGAGTTCCAGTTGGTGTGTGGTGTGTTCTTGGAGGAGCCGCGTGGGTGGCGTTCGAGAGAGTTCCCGGGGAATGTGCTGGTAGAGTTCAGAAATAAAGTTTCTTCCTGCTTGAGTGGCTCGTGATTTGTGCCCAGCCAGACTGCGGCAATTGGTGGCCTGTACGGGGAACTAAATTCTCCATTAAGTCTCCTAGTGGGTTTCTTCTGTAGTGAAAAGCGCCTTCTTCAGAATAAGTAGGCTGAAACACACTTCCCAGCTGATGTGCAAGGACTTGATTTATATCACTAAAGGATATCTGCTTGATATTCATGAGCTTTCCACAGATCTTATGGACAGCATTGTTCTTGTGAACAAGGAGGGCATCTGAAGATCGGTACAGGTGAGAAAGAGTCATAACGGAGTTGTAGTTCTGAACAATAACCTCACCAGTTCCATAGGGCCATATAATCTGATTCATTCATACTCAAACTTAAAGAGTTTGAGTACTAATCTTGTAAATCCTGTGTAATGAAGGCTCCCAGCACAGATCCTGTGCCCCCAGCTATACTCATTATGATGAAAAAACCACTCAAGGAGTCACATKTCTCCACTTCCTTCTGGATTAGTTTCATGATAGATTCTTCATGCCTAGGTCCATGTACAGAGTAACCATATGCCCAGTTGTTTCCAGAACCTTGTTTTTGACAGAAGCATGCATGCTGACCATATTTCCATCGGCCAGACTGGGAAGCCTTTGTCAGAGTTTGATTGATAACCTTAGGTTCCATGTCAATAAGCACAGCCTGGGCAACTGGAACTCCATTTTCTTCCTCCCTGAAGAATCTTTCTTGGCAAGATGCTTGATATGCCTCATTTTCTGTTTTAGAGCAGAGTCCTTGGAAATYGTGTGAGTCACTAAATAATGTATCAAACACTTCAAAACCAATCTGGTTGCCACACTGACCAAGCTGCACTGTTACTATTGACATGCTGAGCCATGAACTAGTCCTGTTTCTTCAAAAAAAGTGAGCAACCGATAAGAAAAACTGGTGTTCTGAAATGTTGTATGACTTTCTCCAGGCCACCAAACTAGTAAGTGGCAAAGCCAAGACTCTCTCTTTTCCCACCGGCGGAGCTCCGGGCTACTGCCACTCACTGACAGCCCTSCACTCTGCCACGGTTTCCGTCGGGTTCAAACTTCAGAGGACCAACCCTCTCACTATTCGCATGCTCCTTTCCGGAACTAAAAAGCCACAGAGAAAGAAAGCATATGTTTCTTAAACGAAGAGTTTTGCTGTACTCCCCGCCGTTTCTATTCAGAAAGGTTAATTATGTATGTTCGATTTCTCTACTCACAGTCTTTGCTGGCTTTGAGCATAAACCCTAAAGGATCCAGATTGGCCTTGACACAAATCTTCATGTTGTCACAGAGCCACATGTAAATTAAGTCAGTGCCCAAGTAAATATAAATAAAATACAGTCACAGCCGCTTCATTTGGGTGCACTGTACACAAACATGATTCAGAGCATGCTGACAGCATTCATGACCTAAGACCAACCAGAGGAGTGGCGGGGAGACCCTGTGGTGAGTGCTTGCCTAGCATGAGCAAGGTCCTAGGGGACAGGGGCGAGAGGAGTCAAACCGGGATTGTCACCTGCCCTTATAAAAGTTCATGAAGTTATTTACGTGTGAAACAGACCTGAGGCCACGTCCTCACTGAGGTCCGCTCCTTCTCTCAGCTGCTCCTCCAGATAATCACAGCAGGTACCACGCAATGGCAATGACCATGCCAGGCACAGAGAAAGGTAACTTGGCGGCCGAGCAGGAGCTCTGGAAATCAGAGGAGCCAGTGTCTCCAGCCAGAGAACACCAAGGCACCTGAGTGAGGCCCAGGCTGGTGGAGACCTGTGCCTACATGTCTCACAGGCACTTCCAAACCCCAAGGTTCTAAGGAGCCCCCTCCCCAGGCTCTTCTCCAGGCATCCACTGGCYGAGCCGCTGTCTGAGTTGGTGCCACAGCCAACCCTGGAGGTCCCTGGCTTCCTACCTTCTGCCTCCTCATCGGTAGACCTGCCAATCCTCGCACTGTCAGGGCTCTCAAGCCAGCTGTGTGTCCCCCAGTCACCCTGTACCTGGTRTTTGCTGTCAGCTCTAGTGACCCACAAGGGACATGTGAATATCACTATGATCTAAAAAGCTGGTGCAGGTGGCAGCAGAGGCTGTTCCCAGGACTCAGAGGGGCTCTGGGTCAGTCAGGAGAATCTCCAAGATCTGACCCGCTCAGAGGAGCACCCGGAAGGTCAGTCAGCAGTGGTCAGGCCACCTGGAACCCACTCCCCACCCATTCTTCTCATCAGTGCCATTGACACTYTTATTTTTATATTTTAAAGAAAGTACATTTAGAATTAGCCAGCTGCTCTCTGTATAGATGATTTCAGTTTTGTTGGTGATGTCCAAAGTATCACAGTCAGCAGCCAGTGGAACGTGAGCCTTCTTCTGTCCCTAAGGCCTGAGAAGGGCCCATGGCCATGTTACTTCACAGAGCTTCTATGCAACCTGTGTGAYCTGGTGTTTGCTGGCCTTGACGACTGCAGTGAACACAGCGTGGAGTCGTCTCCCATCTCAGACCTGGCGACAGCATGGYGGTCAAGCCGGCCTATCTGGGGTGCTCATCTGAGGATATCTGGGCTGCCAGAGGGTAAGGGATGTTTGGATCTYCTTTTGTGGGTGTGAATGCCTTTCAACACTGTCTTCTTGGGCTTCAAAGCATTGGCTTTGGTTCTGGCTTTGGAGGGTCAGGAGCTACCTTCTTAGCTTTTGGTGCCATTTTGGTGAAAAGGCTGGTTATTGACACTCTTAAGTRGGCGCCACTCAAGTGTGGAACCTAGAGGCTGCTTGGTCTGGAACATAACTGACCCTCCCCCTCGGTCCCTAGACTCTGGTTGCTATCTCTGGACCAGTCTCTCTGCCTCAAAAATCTGCTTCCCACTTTCAATACTACTTCTCAGAGTTATCTTTCTCATTACAGAAATTACATAACACTCCTATGCTTAATAATAAGGAACTTACGGGCTTGGGGTGTGGCTCAGTAGCAGAGCTCTTGCCCAGCATGCATGAGACCCTGGGTTCCATCCCCAGCACCACACAAATAATTCATTGATCATGAACTTGGTCAGTTCCCTACTCACCAGGCAGAGAGAAGCGATCCCCAGCGCCACTCTGTCCCCCACTGTTCCACCCCACCAGCTGCCACCTCTCCCACCGAGTCCGGGTCAGTCCTTCACAGATAACTGTGGTACTCTCATGCCTGAGCCTGTGGCTACATTATTTCTTCTGTCTGGCTCCYCCTCCATGGTTTTTTGTTTTGTTTTGTTTTGTTTTTTTGCCTAGGAAATAAAAAGAGAAAGAAGGAAACAGAGAGATCGTTTAAGTAAAAGAGTTTCCAAAGGGTAAAAAGATGAGGACTCCACTAGAACAAACAGGGCCTCACTCTCATGGAGCAGCAGACCAGGGAGCTCTGCTGAGCCTGCTGTRCCCCTGGGAGAAGTACGTGGAGTGACACTCAGCACCTCCAAGGACTGGGATGTCACTGGCCGTGACGCCCCAAGTGACCCCGTGGAACCAYGGCTGGTGGTGAAGAGACCTCGTTGTACCACAGACTACAGGACATTCAAGAAGTGCGTTAGGGGCTGGAGTGGCAGCTCCGTGGTGGGGCACTGTGCCCCACCATATGTGAGGCACGGGGCTTGACCACACAACAATAAAAAAATAAAATAAGTGGTTTTTTTTTTTTTTAAAAAAAAGGGTGCGTTGCGTCTCCCAGTCCTGACTGCAGTCATGCTCCATGCCTGACGCCCAAGTTAGCTCTAGCCCAGGAAGTCCAGCCGACAGCGCCAGCCCTTTAGAGCCAGCTGCCCCGGATGCAGTGAGGGAAATATCCGCTCCAGGATATTTAAACATTGAGAGCTGGGGTTTAATTAACATTCTGGATTAATTAACATTATTTTCAAACAAATATTTTTTTTTTTAAAAAGGTGAAACAGTAAGAATAAATACTTGAAGAAATCAACAGATGAAAGCACAGCTGTTGGTGATCAAAGGACAGGAGTGAAGACCCCGCCCATGTCCTTGGAGAAGCCAGCCAAAACTTGGGGCAAGACCTGATTGTCACACAGAGACCAAGTAAGAAAGGTGTCAGAGTCATCATCAGGAATTCCACAGGACCTCCAAAATGTGGAAATACCTCCAGTGGAGGCAGAGGCAATAAAGAGAAGAAGAAAAACCTATACTCCTGCTTCCCATAAAAATAGAGCCTCCTGTGACCCAGCTGTCCCTGTTCTGGGCACAGACCCACAGGAGATACAACCTCCTCATCATAAAAACTGCTGCTGCTTCGTGGCTTGTGGCAGCTGAGATGCAGAGGCAACCTGTGCTGCGAGGCCTGTATGGAGAAGGTGCGTGGTGTGCACACGCAGAGGGTCTTCCTCAACCTTAACAGAGAATGAGAGGCGGGATGTTGCTCAGTGGTGGGCYGCTTGCCTAGTATGCATGAGGCTGGGTGTGCAAACCTGCAGCCTAGCACTGCAAAAAAATAAATTAAATAAATAAAAAGAAAAGGAGAGAGAGATCACCTGGCATTTACCCTAACATGGGTAAACCTGGGGACACGGCACTGAGTGATGAGCCAGACACAGAAAGAAAGTATGCCTGACCCCATGTACTTGTGGGGCCTAAAAACAACAAAAAATCTAAAAACAGTACAAACAGATACAGAGAGTGGAAAAAAACAGTGATTAGGAGGGTTGAGGGATGGGAGAAGTAGAACAAAAGATACGAAGTAGCTGTATGTAGGGTGACTGAGTCCAGAGCCTCACCCACAGTGTGAGGACTGCAGCTGAGAAGGTTGTGGTGTCAGGGATTTGGTTACAGGAGTCAATTTCAGCTGCTTTTGTCAAGAAAAGGTACCCAGGTGAGATGACARACATGTTAATCTTCTCCACCAAACTCACCGTGTGTGACTATGTGCACCCAGTGATATCATGCTAAACCTCAAGTACACGCCTTACAACTTATCAAAAGGAAGAAGTCAGCCTGAAGAGGAGCTCGGAGGAGGAAGCAGCGGCCTGCAGTCAGGAACAGGCCAGCTGAGGAGATGCACCTTGTTAGTTCAAAAGCCTCAGAAAGACACAGAGCTCTTGGTTACTAGACAAATAAAGCTGAAAAATTTCACCACTGCATTCTGCAACTGAAATAGATTTTCATTCTGAATACAGTAGTAAAGAAAAAATAATAAAAGGGAAAAAGAAAGTTGTTGATAGTTCAAGCCCAGGGCAGGGGGCTCTGGCTTTGCTCCTGAAAGGCACCTTACTGGAGGGAAGAGGGAAGGGATCAGCGCAAGAAGCTAAAAACAAAGTGCAGTGACTGGGAAGGGCCAGCCTCCCAAMCGTCCTCAGAGGGCCTTCCCAGAATTCCCTACACCTCAGGGACTCTTGAGCTGATTGGCTCCTCGGCTTTGACACAGATGTGTCAGCAACCTGGAGRCTGTGGGTGGGACTCCACCCGGGCTGAGTCCTGGTAAACATCCGCTCCATGCCCTGAACTTGGAGGCCAACATGCCACCAGGAGGGCACTGTGATGCCAGAGGAAGGAACCCAATCCCAAGGGCACCCTGGTCTCCAAGGAAGCTTTCCCCAGTGGCCACTGGGCCATAGGAAGACATACCTTCCCCTTGGCTGGAAAGAAGCAAGGGAAGGGTAGAGAGGAAACCTGAGCTATTATTTTTATATAGATGAARATTTATGAAAAAGCACTCTTTAGATTACTGTGTCCAGCAAAGAGGAGCCTGTTGGGAAAAATGTAGCATTTGTTTCAGACTACCCAGGTGATATGGGTTGGGGAGGATGACCCAGTCAGAGAAGATTCAACATTTTTCTTCCCATGTGTGTTGCAGTGTGCTTGAAATTTACACATGTACAGTAATATTTTTCAATTTCATAGTATATTTGTCTTCTAAGCAAATAGGTAAACTCTGAAAAACA